GTGGGAAAGGTGAGGGGAAAAACGTGGGAAATGTGAGGGGGAAAAGGGGGGAAAAGGGTGGGAAAGGTGAGGGGAAAAGGAGAAAAATGTAAGGAGGAAAATGGAGGGAAACATGAAAAGAAGAAACACCCCTCCCAAATATTTTGGGGCCCCACTAACCTCTGGGTGGTGGAAGCCGTCACACTGACCACCATGATGGTGGCGTTGGTCAGGATCTGCTGCACATTCTCGTTATTCTTGCACTTGTCCAGAGAATTCCCCAATTCCTGAAGGAACTCCCAAAATTAGGGGAGGACAAAAGGGGGGGTGACTCCCCCTAGGGACCCCAAAACCCCCCAGGGGAACTCAAAGTCACCACAAGGGGCCACAGAAATAAAAGAAAGAAAGAGGCAAAGGGGAATTCGGGGGGATTTGGGGGGTCCCACAGGGAATTTGGGGGGTCCTGAGAGGGTTTGGGGGGGTCCCAGGTAGGATTTAGGGGGTCCCAGATGTGATTTGGGTGGTGCCAGGTGGGATTTGGGGGTTCCAGGGTGTATTTTGGGGGTCCCAGGGGGTGTTTGGGGGGGTCCTAGCTCACCTTGACTGTCCGGATATAATCCAACGTGTTCGGCACCAGCGACTCCAGCTCCGGGAATCTCTTGGAATATTTGTCCTGGATGAACTTGTGGATGAGGGAGGGGGTCCCAAAATCCACCTCAGCCCCTGAAACCCCCCCCCAGAAATGCCCCCCAGGACCCCCCGAGATCCCCCCCAGGGCTCACTCAGCTCGTTCTCGATCTCCACTGTCAGGTTGTTGGCGTCGATGATCACTCGGTACTCAGGCCTGCCTCCACTGGGCCCAAAACTACCCAAAAAGGGGGGGAAATCGACCCAAATTTCCCTTGGGAAACTCTTAAGCCCACCCAGGATCCCCCCAAAAAAAACCCCAGGATTCCCTAAATCCTCCCCAGGACCCCCCAAATCCCACCCGGGAACCCCCCCCGAACGGACATTTCGGAGCTGCCTCCACCAAGCCCCAAACTGCCCCAAACCAGGGGAAATCGACCGAAAATAACCCTGGGAAACCCTCAAACCCACCCAGGATCCCCTAAACCCCTTCTGGGACCCCCCAAACCTGATATTCCAGTGCTGCCTCCACCAGCCCCAAAATTGCCCAAAAATGGGAAAATTGCCCCAAATTTCCCCTGGGAATCCCCCCCCTCAGTCCCCCAAATCCCCTTGGAGATCACCCCAAACTCACCCAGGACCCCCTAAAACTCACCCAGGATTCCCCAAACTCACCTGGGATCTCCCAAATCCTCACCAGGACCCCCCAAAATTCCCCCCCCCAAGGGACCCCCACTCAAATCCCACCTGAGACCCCAAAATCTTCTCCCAAATTCCCCCCGAGACCCCCCAAAACCTCCCAGACCCTACCATAGACCCCCCCAAACTCCTCTAATCCCCCCCCAGGACCCCCAAAATTCCCCCAATGACCCCCTAAAACCCACCTGAGACCCCAAAATCCGCCCCAAAATTCCCCCAACTGTGAGGGGAAAAGGGAGGGAAACGTGAGGGGACAAAATGGCGGGAAATGTAAGGGGAAAAGGGCAGGAAATGTGAGGGGACAAAATGGCAGGAAATGTGAGGGGAAAAGGGAGGGAAACATGAGGGGACAAAATGGCGGGAAATGTGAAATGGGAAATTTGGATGCCCCAAACCCGCTTTTTGGGGGCAGTTTTGGGGGATTTGGGGGTGGGGGAAGGGTGGGTAGTTGTGGGGGGTGGGGGAGGGAGGGAGGTCCCCCATTTTGAGGGGCTTTCGGGGTCACCTTCGGCGGCTTTGGGCTGTTTGCTGATGTACTCCTTGATCTTCTGCAGGATCTCGGCAAACTGTGGGGGGGAGAGACCCAAAACCAGCGGGTTTAGTCCCAAAAATTGGGGGGGAGGAAAATCTCAAAATTGGGGGGGGGGGGGGGGG